TGAATTCTTGAGCAGGGTTACATAACCAGCAGGCAGCCCTCGCCAAGGTGCTGCCTCTCTCCTGACAGCTGCACAGCGGGTATTTACTGAACCTTTGGAAGGCCTTTCTTTTTGGAGGGGTGGACTAAGAAATGTGACCTTTTATGAAAACCATGTTGTGAAGACAGGAGGAGTGAGATGGGCAGTTGAGATGAGCGGTGAGGATGGGTTGACCATGTGGAGACCACAACAGAACCGAGGGTCAATGTTAATTGTGCTGTCACCAATCACACCACCATCTGCTGGTCTCTAGAGCCTCAGGAATAACAAATGGAGCTGTGCTTTCTCAATGCATTTTCCATTGACTCCGCCCTTTCGTTCTCCACAAACTTGACCTGCTACATCCCTCTTTGCAAGTCTGTCATGAGGAAGTTCACCTGCACAGAAGCAATGCAGACACTCGCCAAAATGAAAGAGGACTGGATCGACCAAAGAGGACATGACATCTTTTGGAGGGAGGAGGGTAAAGGACAGGGAGCCAGCCTGGGAAGCACAGGTTGACCTGGTCAAGATGCCTTTAGCTCATCTAGACACACATTTTCTGTTCTTAGATCCTTTCCAGTTCCTGGCTGGTGCCAAATTCTTCATGAGACACGAAGCCACCTGCATACTTGAACTTTACACAGCAATTCCCTCCCCCATTTGCAGACTTCGAATTTGACTTGAAGTTTCCACTTATGGTTTGCAGGTGCAGGGTTGCACCTGTACAGCAACAGGCCAGACCTGGAGGACAGGGGCCAAGTGAGGGCAGGGGCGCATCTGTGTTTTCTGTGGCTGTTGGATTCTTTTGGAGATGGGACAAGGGCTGGAAGCAGGAATTTGAGAGCCCTCTTGCATTCCAAAACCTCAGAATGCCAGAGACCCAATTCAAACAGCGAGGCTCATTTCATTCTCTAGGAAGTCACGCCTTCCAGCACTGTTCCTTCCCTGCACTGACCTGAGAGCCTTCTCGGGTAGAACCCATGGTGCTGAGATTTTTTTGGCTATACTGGGGTTTGAACTCAGGACTTCACACTTGCTAGGCAGGTGCTCTACCACTTGAGCCACTCTGCCAGTCCTATTTTGTGTTGGGTATTTTCGAGATTAGGGTCTCGCAAACTATCTGCCCAGGCTAGCTTCAGACCACAATCCTCCTGATCTCTGCTTCCCAAGTAGCTAGAATTACATGCGTGAGCCACCAGTGCCTGAGGTTTTTGAGCACGGGCCGACTACATAGACTACAATTTGAGTGTTGGCTGTGACAACTGGGCTTCTGCCCTCCACACAGACCATGGCCACCAGCTCTGCCATGAGGCCACTTCCTATCTGACTCTCTGGAAAGTGCCTTTTTCACCCACCCCACCTTGACTTAAGCTCTCGTCTCTGTGCACACACCAGCACACTCAGCTCTACCTGTGCTAGCTATTTGCATATTTGTCTCGTCAAACAACTGGAATCAAAACTCTAGAAGTAGGGGCTGTGCGTGCCCTTATGTACCACTATCCCACTATGTCCAGACCACAGGCTGTGCTAGGGATGTTCTGACTGAGTTGTGTCCTCGCAAATTCCTAGGTTGAAAGCCTCAGGACCTCAGACTGTAACTACATTTAGAGACAGGGTTTTTATGAAGGCATTTAGTGGAAATAAGGCGATTAGCATGGGCCTTAGTCAATTATGGCTGCTGTCCTTATAAGAAGAGGAAATTAGGGCTGAGTCAGCGGGACAATCACAAAGACGGAGAGAAGACAGAGTGTACAAATCAAGCAGTGAGGCCTCAGGAGAGGACATCCCTGCTTGACCTTGATTTTAGACTTCCAGCTCCCACAACTGTGAGGAAATAAATTCCTGTTGTTTAAGTCCCCCAGTCTGTGGTTGGTGCCTCTTCATTATGGCAGCCCCAGTGAAATCCAATGGTTCCAAAGTGCTTTCAGGCTTCTGAGAGACAGACCATGACAAAACGCTGAGGCAGTCATGTATATGAACACTGCAAGGAGAAATTACCTTGTGTAAGGGAAAAATACTCCTCAGCTGTCACCCACATCTCCTGCCTCCCATCTGATAAGGCTACAGAAAATAAAGGCACAGTGTACAAAAAGAAATCATAAACACAGGAAGCATAAATCAAACCATAATGCCATCCTAAAAATATCCCCTGTGAGCAATGAAAAAAGGCACAGGAAGGAAGTGATCTTATCAAATGCAACTATCTCCTGTGAAAAGATCTAAAATCTGTTTGCCAGCATTTCTAATGAAAACAAACCAACTGTAGAAGAGGTGACCCGTGGCATGAAGTTCACCTCCAGAGACCCCAGCTAAGCCTCCTGCCGGAATTCCAGGTCCCGGGCTCCCAGATTTTTCACGGGAGTGCACCCTGGCTTCCACGGAGCCACGCCCACATGGCCCACTGAGCCGCCACTACCACTCACAGGGAAGCTTCCCTAGCACACAGCTCAGTCACTTGATGGTTTTCAGAGCCTAGCATGGCTGACTGGCTTGGGTATGCGCCCCTGGCCAGTGATTTTCTGCCTCAGTTACAGGGCAGTGGACAGAGCACAGCACAGCACTTAACAACTGAAGGCTGAAAACATTCCTCTCACACTTCTATCTGTGCTCTGAGATGTTCAAGGGCACAGTTTGACCTTGGACAAAGGTAAGAGTCAAATCAGCTCTGCCTGCAGATACTTGGAGTCACCTGTGGGCCACCATAGAGGCCAAGGATGGAGGATTCATTGAGTGTCACATCTCTACAGCTGATGAGAGCTGGGCTGGCAGGTGTCAAAGATGAGGTCAACTTTACAGCAGCAGAATAGTGTCGCTGAGAAAGTGAAACTAGCAAACACCAAGGCTTTGCTTCCACACCAGTGAACTGAGCCATTCTACCTTAAGGAAGAATACCATGTGGTTTGAAGGTGAATGGAAGCAACTGGAGGACATCACATTAAGTGAAGTAAGCCAGGCTCAGAAAGACAAAGGCTGCATGTTTTCTCTCATATGTGGAAGACAGATCCAAAGATAAACATATACACAAAAACAAACATGATCACATACAAGCTTATACACAGAACACATATGTAATACTGGAACTACTCTATGGAACTCGGGGGAGGAAGGAAAGGAAAAGAGAATGATAGAGCATCAGTAATATCATAAAACATCACATCTGTGCAGGTAGAGGACATAAGGATGTGCACTGAAAGCTGCTGAGTAATGGGGGGGAGGGAGGGGGGGAGGGAGAGTAATGGAAGGGGTTGAATGGACCAAAGTAAAGTAGACTCACAGCGGGGACACACTGAGAAACCCCTTTGAAAATTGACTTAGGAATTAATAAGGAAAGACAGGACTATAAAATAGATACAGTGGGGGAGGGGATCCTGCTGGGGGGTGTGAATGGAGGAGATGAAGGTGAGGGAATATGGTGGATGAACTTCATATACTTATATGAAATAGAACAAAGAAACCTCTTGCAATTGCTTTAAGTCAGGCAGGGAGGGGACTGAGGGGGAGATGGTGGGGGTGACCTAACCAATGTACAATGTAAGCCATTCAAACTGTCACAATGAATCCCCCCTGTACAATGAATATATCCTTCCAAAAATGAAAACAAACAAAAACAACTGAACTGTCCTGAGGATGGAAGACGACACTGTACAGTGTTTAGCACAGTGCCTCACACATTTGGGGCTCATCCCGCACATGACCACTGTTCTCACTGGTCCTAATTCCCCTAATATCCTTTCCATTTGCAAAACCCACTCTCTGAAGCAGGGCAGACCGGGGTGGGAGTGGGGAGTGTGTGTGCAGGATCGAAAGGTCACAGCAATGATGTGTGTGTGTGAGAGAGAGAGAGAGAGAGAGAGAGAGAGAGAGAGAGAGAGAGCATGGTGCTGAGGATTGAGCCCCGGACCTTGGGCATGCTAGGCACCCATTCTAGCCCCATCTACATCCCCAGCCCTGTCCGTATTTTCATGAGTGTTTCAGGATGGACAAGATGGGATTTCCCCATTTACTAACAAAGGGTTTTCAAATGCAAATTTTCAGGACTTTGGATGAGGCATTTATGACAAAATGCAAAGCAAACTCTTAAATCATGTTCTTGTCTAAACAAAATGGACTTGCCAAGGCCACATAAAGATGAGATCTAACATATTCTATATGCGTTGGAAGCAGTACATATGCCTTAAAGGTTTTCTTTATTTCAGACAAAATCTTTCCAAAAGTTATTTTACATGTATGCATTCTTTTGTACTCAAGACAGATGAAAGGGTAAAATATAGTAAGTTAATTTCCTCTAAGAACCACACACCCAAGAAACAAAATTATCTAAAGAAATCACTGTTTTGATCATTAACTAAGCTGTAACATCAATTGTACTTCATACCTTGGCTTTTAATGATAAATGTGTATTTTATTTCTCCACTCACATGCTGGGAGGCCTATGATTATATTAAGATTACAAATTAGGTCAGGAAAGAGGGACACTCAGAGGCCAATGGCTGACTTCATACTTGTTTTCTGGTTTTTTTTTTTTTTTTTTTTTTTTGCGATACTGGGGCTTGAACTCAGGGCCTTCACCTTGAGCCATTCCACCAGCCCTTTTCATGTTAGATATTTTCAAGGCACAGGCTTGTGAACTATTTGTCCTGGACTGGTTTTGAACTGCGATCCTCCTGATCTCTGCCTCCTAAGTAGCTGGGATTACAGGTGAAGTGATGAGTGCCTGGCTAGAACTTGTTTTCAAGTTTGCATACATTGATTATCTAACAACTGTCAGGACAAAGATCTGTTCTCTTTTTAATTAAAGTACTTTTACTTGGAAATTAATGAAAGGCACTGAAATGAAAGTTACTTTTCAGCTACTTTTCCTATGGATATTTCTGTTCTTTTTTCAGGGAGCGGGGAGTATACGGGTATATTACTGTTTTAAGATAGAATCACTTTTTCCTTTGGGAGGAGGGTACATTACTGGGGAAGGATATACTCACCATGATATCTCCTTTCAGCAGCTGAGCTGGTTCAATAACAATGCAGATCCTGCTAGGGTTTTCTGGCCCAACATTGCTTTGGGTTAACAAGAAAGTCGATTATTATATGATGTCATTGACAGAAGGCACATTGATAAAAAGAACCATGTAATTCAAAGTTCAGAAATCACAGGAAGCATTTGATTATCTCAGAATCACTCAAGGGAGAGTTCTCACTGCAACTTCCAGGTAAGTGAACAACTAGAAGGACCTGTGCTCAGCAAAGATGGATACATAAAGCCCTGGAGGGAGACACCAATATGGTGACAGGCCCAGCTTCTGTTATAAACAAGCTGAGTGTACAACCCCTCAAGTGTCATCCCTATGAGCAGGGTCCAGCTCTTTTTTTGAGTGGCAGACCACTTGTCACCTTAACTTATATCCATTAATGCCCATACAACGCTATCCACACACACAAAAGAAGCTCAGAAAGTCTCAGAAATCAGAGGATGTGTGTGGCTATCCTTTGTCTAAAATACAAAAGACAGACACAGAAAACTCTTAACAGAAGCCTGTCCTAAGACTCTTTCCAATATGTCTACTTTCAAACAGCAATGGCCCTCTCCCTGGAGGCTTCAGGGTCCAGCATCTTAATGAAGCCAACTGCAGTGACACTGATAGGACACCAGCATGGGATGAGAACAAGGGGGCCCCAGGGCTTTCCTCTCTGTACCCTGCTGGAGACCTCTGGCACCCTTCATCCCACAGCTCCACCTCTTCCCGGGGCTCCACCACCATCCCCTGGGCCATGAGCAGACTGAGCTAGGGCCCAAGCACTTACTAGATTCCAGATGTGTACACGGGTTGCATGGCTTGGTAGAGCTTCAGGAAGGGTCGGCAAGCTGAAAGAGAGGCACAGTCCTATAAGATCGGGATAACTACCATACATAGGAGTCCAGCCAGTAGAGAGAGACAAGGCTTGACCTCCATCCAGAAGGTGACTGGGGCTCTAAACAGTGGGGCAGGGACTGGCAGAGTAGCTCAAGTGGTAGAGTGCCTGCCTAGCAAGCATGAGACCCTGAGTTCAAATCCCAGTACCACCAAACAAACAAAAAACAGTGGGGTTAGGAGGCCTTGCAAACTACCTTGCAGCTCAATTAGGTCACCCTGGTCCTGATGACCAGGAGAACTGGAAGTCCCAGACTTTAACACAGGCAAAACCAATGAGTAAGCACATGTCTGGGTGGACATGAGCAGCAGGGGACAGGGTCTCCTCTAAAGAGGGTCCCTGAAATGACTCCTGGAGGTGGTCTGGTGCTGGCATCTCTCACAGCATGGAACCTGCAGGCCAAGTGCCCAACTGACCCTCAGGGCAGCTGACCCAGGATAAGCTGGCCTTCCAGAGTCCTCTCAGGACACAGGGGTACTTGGGATGCCCCTCACCCACTGCCTGCCTCATATCTGATCAATTGCTTTGGTCTGGTCCCACAAAGTTACATGGGGAGGGGCTGTGTCTATGGCCAGGAAGCCTAGGCACAGAACCTGGACAATGCAAAAGGGAAAGAGAGGCTTGGTTAAGTTGAGGAGACCTAACCTGGTCCCCAGACTGGGCTGGAAGATTGCAGGCACAAGGCATAGATATCACTTACCTCCCCCAGCATCGAAGCTTGGGGCACCATGCAGGATGACAAAATGAAGGAACAGAGGTGAGGCATTCATCTTCACAGAGCCAGACAGAAGTCCACTGAGAAACTGCACATACCTGTGGAGGATAGCAGCTGAGCCCTGGGGACATCCTGTCCCACGCTGCGCAGCAAAAGTGGCTCTCAGCTCATGTCCTGGAGGGGGCTCCAGCCACACCTCTAGGAACTGCCCCACACTGACAGTGTGCTGGACATTACAGACACAGAGGCACGAGCAAGTGAGTGCCTTGCTGAACCCCATGCTAACACTGGGGTACAGTCACCAGGCACAAGTCCCACAGCTGATCATGCCTATGGATTCCTATTCTATCACACGAGCCATAAGGAGCAACAGAACTGGTCTGTCCTGCCCAAATCTCCTCCTGGGCCCTCTCCCCATGGCCTGTCCCTCGGGCTAAGATTACCCATGGCTGGGACTATGTGACTTTTCCTCCCTGAATTCACTGGCCTCGTGCATCCATGCCTTTCACATGCATATGGTGGCCAAGAGAGAAGTTCCTACCCTACTACGGTAGGTGACTACAGCATCCTCGTGAGACACAGTAGGGCAGCAGTGGCTGGAATGGAAACTGAATCCTCATCAGGCTCCAATGCTACTCTGGCCTTCGCCCTCTTTCCCTGTTCCATGTCCCTATTTCCTGTGCACCTGGGAGCAGAACTGACCCCTGCCCCGAGGTGTCACATGGTGATCCCATTATACCCCTACCACCTCCATTATAGCTTGAAACACCTCTGGCTGGGATCTATTTGCTTCTTTGTCTTTCTCCACAAAAGGACTGAAATCTTTGCAAGGAAGGGAAGAAAAAGAACAACCAGCCACAGATTCCAAAATATTTAACTCAGCTCCGAAGCCGACAGTAGCACCAAGCCAGAAGCAGTAAGTAAAAGTTGTCAGCACAGAGTCCTCACTCCTCCAAATCCCTGTGGGAGCCAAGAGCCGTCCCATCCCAGGAGGGACACAGTCCCAAGCCTCCATGTTACTTACCCTAAGAAAGAATCCCTACCATACACTGGAATTCAAACCAGTCCATCACTGAAGCAGCTGAATCCGCACACAAAGAAAACCGAGTAATAGCAAATTTCTGATAAACATTAAAAAAAAAAAAAAACAACTAGAGCTGGGCATGTGATACACACATCCCAGCCACTCAAGAGCAGGAGGTAGGGGAATCTTGGTTCTAGGTCAGCTCTGGAAAAAGTGAGGTAAACAAACTAAAACATCAAAAAGGACTGGGGTGTATCTCAGGCAAGCATGAGGTCCTGAGTTTAATCCCTAGTGCTACAAACAAAGAATTTTAAAAAAACCTTACTTATAGACTAACCTCTAAGAAAACTCTGTTTGCTTCATTGTAGGTACAATTCATAGTGAAAAAGTGTTCCTGCCTTCCTGGCAGCAAACTGCTCTTCTTTTGATGTGTGATTTGTCTACTTTTCAGCATCTGAGTTTCACGCACTACAGAGCAAAGGTAATGGAGTCACAGGACAGAGCATCTCAGTCACGCTGCTCAGGACAGGTGGCCCTGGATCCTAGGCAGTCTGTGCTGTGGGTTTCTCCTGCCCAAGAGGGGTGGGCCCAGTGTGGACTCCATGGGTGCCGTGGGTGGCCCTGCATTGAACTCACAGTGGCATCACCCTTGTTGGGCCTTCTTGGGCCCAACATGCACCCTGACGCAGGCACTGGGGTAGGCTTAGTGCTGGCTTACATTTTCATACAAACATGAGCAGCCTGGGGACTGGACTTCATCTGAACCCAGAGCAATCCTAGCCCCCTGTGAGAAGCAAAGCTGAGACTATCGGCTCCTTGTCCACACTGTGGGCAGGGAGTATCTCTTCCTGCTGCCTGTGCACCAGACAGTACAAAAAGTGACCTCTTCCACAGAGAAGCAGCAGGGGGATAGCAGAACTCTGTTCATCCACAACTCCCAGAGGAAGTGGCCAAAGTCCAGGGCTCACTGCTGGGTTCCACAGAAGGGGAAGGAGGCAACAGCTTGGGACACAGGCCTCCTCAAGCCTTCCCTCCCTGAAACTGGCCTTCAACAGTCACTGCCTTCCCAAGTGTCTTCAAAGGACTGCTCAGTGCACGGATTAACCAACCCAAAAAGTATTTGGTCAGGTTGTGCTCAGACATTCTGCCACCATGGGTTCGAACAACCTTTACATGGCCTGTAAGGTCTGTGAGCCGATTTACAGTACACAGAAGGATTCACACAGCCTCTATGCAAGGCCTAGGCCATTTTATTATTATTATTGTAGGCATTGGGGTTTGAACTCAGGGCCTCATGCTTGCTAGGCAGGTTCTCTTACCAATTGAGCAACACCTCCAGCCCTTTTTTTGTGTTGAGTATTTTCAAGATTGGGTCTCTCAAACTATTTGCCCAGGCTGGCTTCAAACCACGATCCTCCTGATCGCTGCCTCCTGAGTAGCAGGAGTGAGTCAGTGGCGCCCAGTCCCAGGCCACTTTAGAAAGGACTTGAGAATCCACAGATTGTAGGATCCAGGAGGGTTCTGGAACCAGTTCTTGTGGACACCAAGGAACCGCTAAGAGTGACAACTGGACGGTCCTGACTGTCGATGGCTGTTGAGAGTTCAGGCCTTCTCAGTCACAAATTCTAAGCTCATCACTCACTAGCAAATGTAATCATTATGCAATTGACTTTGAAATGATTCCTTGGTTTGTCCACAGGGTGTTCCGACTCCAGTGAAGGCTCACTCTCTCCTAACAGTGGTCACTGCACATTCTTTCGGTCTCAAACATCTCCCTGGATTTATCCTACAGGTGTATGCAGTTGTTCACTCACTTGATAATTATTTGATGAGTATCTTTAAATCAGGCACCAGGCAAGGTAACAGCCAGCAAGGGAGGGGATTTCCCATAACAGCCTTGGGATGCAAAATTGAACCCAGCTGTGATTATAAAATACAAACATTTGTCGAAATTGTGGGCATGTTAAAATGAAAAGACTCCTCTGCCCCCAGCATTCATTTTATTTTAAAGTGGCATCTATCTTTATTGCCCCCCCCCTTTTTTTTTGGTGGTACTGGGGTTTGAACTCAGTGCCTCACACTTGCTAGGTAGGCACTCTACCACTTGAGCCATTCTACCAGCCCTCAACGTTCTTTAAATGTCATTAAACATGCTCGCTCTGTCAGTAATGAGAACCTGAAGAAAAGGCCAGCTCTGCTTCCCTGGTGTGCGCCAGGCATTCTGCTTACACCTTATCTTCTGTGCAGGAGGTCCTATGAACGCTGCCATTTTGGAAACTGCTCCGTAGAAAAGCAACACTGGTTAAGTATAATATAGTATTATGCTGGGCTGTACACCAGTGACTTCTCTGTGGGGCCTGCTGCTCAAAGTAGGACACAGTCAGGCTCCAACTCATGGTCCCCTGGGGTAGTCCACACACTGCAGGCTGAGCACAGACAGACTGAGGCCACTGGAAGCAGCCACAACAAAGCTGCCTCTGCCTTTGCTACCCCTCTGAGATTTCCTTCCATGACCTGATGCAGTCCTTGGTGGCCCTAAAGACAACAGATGTGGGAGACCAGGACTCGCAAAGGGTCAGGGTGAGAGAAGTGTGGCAACTACCCCACCTCCAAGATGGGGAACCATTTTGCAACTGCCTTGGCAATTTTTGGACACATTTCCTGTTGTGTGGCTGAAAATAAAGCTGCAGTGAAGCTGTGTGCTTGGCTCACATACAGAGGAAGAGTTCTTTCTCACTGCCCCTCACCCCAGCCTGCACGAGTTCCTCTTGACCTCAGCCCATCAGGGAAGGTGACAAAGGGTGATAGTCTTTCTTCCCCATGGCTGTTCCCCAACACTTCGAGAAAGCAGGGGATATGCAGGCAACGTGCTAATAAAGTTTTATTAGAACACAACCACATTCACTCATTTCCATGCTAGTTGTTTTTGTGCAAGAACAGTGGTGACTGAGACCACATGGCTGCCAAGCCTGCATAGTATGCCCCCTGTAGCCCTTAGGTCAAGTTCACTGATCCCTGGTCATCTGGCAGGCAGAAACAAGTCCAGTCACTGTAGGACTGCAGGAGAAGACATTTGAATGAGAAGGGGGCCCTGGATCCACCTCTGTCAGAGCCAGTCACAGCACAGGGCTCCTAGCAGACATGCAGGACAAGCCCCACACCCTAAAATTCTTTGGTACCATCCAAGGGCAATGCTAGGGGAGACTGGGGAAGCTCTGAAGATGGGCTTCCTCTGTCTTCATTTGTTTAAATATGAACTGCCATTTCCCTTTTCCTTCTGACTCCAGAGATGGATACATACCGCTTCTGGGAAGGCTGCATTAAGGCTGAAACTTTGTCGTCATAAAACTTTTTCATTGCAAATCTGTCCAGGGCCTGGTCAGCACTGGGGAAGCAGACAGAGAGAGAAAGAAAGAGGGAGAGAGAATGTCAATTCAGCGGCACTCCCAACCCCCTTGAGGCCTGATGGCTGGGAAACACATCTTGTGGCAATTCAGAGTGACCCAAACCCACCAAGAGCTGCACCTGTGCACACCCATCCCAACACTGCTCTGTGAGAGTGTGTTCAGTTCAAAGCGAGGTCCACACCTGTAGGATCTGAACTCCCGCCTGTAATACTGGCTCCTTATCTAAGGGTGTGGTCCTCAGATGTGCTGCACACTTGGCTCACCAGGAGACAACCTGGCTAAAGCTCTGACTGAGACAGGCAAAGACCCAGGCTTAGATAGGACGCAGGGGATGCGGTAGTAAGCCCAGAACATAACCATCCGTGTCCAATCCATCAAGCCCCAGGCGCAAGTTTGGGACACTCAGTGAGGAATAGGCTGAACAAGGTTCAAGATGGGTAGCCTCAGATGTTCAAAGAGTGCCTGAGGCTCCAGGGCTGCACAGTTCTGTTTTTAAAGTTACTCCACAGAAGGTAAACCTGTTTTCCAATAGCATATTTGCCCTTGAACTCCACCTTCAACAATGCCTGCACATCGTATGCACAGAACTTCCCACTGTGGGCCGTTCCTGGGTTTCTGATCTGACTTCTGCATAAGTTGTAGAACAGCATTGCAACACAATTTAATAACTCAAGACTTGTTTGAGCCAGGCATCGGTGGCTCACGCTTGTAATCCTGGCTATTCAAGAGGCAGAGATTAGGAGGATCACAGTTCAAAGCCAGCTCTACAAATAGTTTGTGAGACTCTATCTTGAAAAAACCCTTCACAAAAATAGGGCTGGTGGAGTGGCTCAAGGTGTAGGCCGAGTTCAAGTGCCAGTACCACAAAAAAAAAAAAAATTAAAAAGACCTGTTTGACCTGACAGAAATGGGCCCTCTCCTTGGAAAAATTGTATATTGTACTTGCAGGAAAATGATATATTTGGGAATCATGTGTGCAACAGACTCAAAAACATTCAGACGTGGGCAGAAGGACAACGGCAAATACTAAAAATTAAGCTCAATGTGACTGCCTTTCACTGAGTGCTATACTATAACTAATTTGCTGTTTATAGATGTCCAAGTGAGGGGCTTGGCTGGTGGCATTGTCACAATCGGAGGGGTGCAATTAAGCCGGGATGTTTCACAAATTAATTCGATATGCTCTGTCTTTTTTGAAGGTGAAATGTGTAGTTACATATGTGCTCGCTGGCTTTGAAACATTTTCTTCTCTGGAATTCACTTCTTTAAACACTGAGAATACATTTGGGCCAATGTTTGCATTCATTATTAAGGGCATCGTTAGCGTCAGTGGTAGTTCTGGCTTTGTTTTTTAAACTTTTATTTTTACAGTGCTGATACAAGAATGTTCTTACTTTGTGACTTGAACTTTCTGTGTTCGGCAGTTTGTGATAAAGGCTGAAGCAGGTACATTCCCTGTGATGACTTCTGAAATATAACCTAAGGGGGGAGCACTGAGGAAATGATCAAAGATGTAGATATTACATGAGGCCAGCCCAGGCAAAAAAGTAGCAAGACTCCATCTCAACCAAGAAGCTGGGCATGGTGGTGCATGTCTGTCATCCCAGCTATGCAGGAGGCAAAAATAGGGAGGATTACAGTCTAGGCCAACAAAAAAACAAACAAACAAAAAAAAACCCTGGGACCCTATTCAAATAAATAAATAAATAAAGCAAAAAGGTCTTGGGCATGGCTCAAGTAGTAGAACAGGTGCCTAGCAAGCACAAGACCCTGGGTTCAAACCCCATGGCAAGCTCTAGAGGAAGTAATAATTAAAAGCAAAACTCAAAGTGACCTGGATAGGACAAACCCACAGATGGGTGCTTAAATAAGGAATACCATCTCCATGGAACCACGGGTGGCAGAAACAGTATGGGGATAGTTGTTTAGGAAGTGTTGTTAGTGTAGAAGAGCAGGTGACAAAAGCACCACAGTGTCAACTCTTTTAATTAAAAAGTACTTAGTACTGTTACTCCTACCAGAGAGAGCAGCAGTAGAACTGCTCTTACCTGAGTACCAACGTGGCTCTCAGAACTTTGCAAGTTATGGACACACCTGGGTGACTTAGCTCTAATACCCACTATCCAGGCAAGGACACTAAGGCTCAGACAGACTCGTGAAAACTTCCTGACACATGCAGTGAGACATGGACTGAGTATTCAGGGAAATTAAGGTTTACAGGTAGAGTTCAGGATGGAGTTTGAACTGAGGGCCTCATACATGCTAGGCAGGTACTCTACCACTTGAGCCACTCCACCAGCTCTTATATGTATTGGGTATTTTCAAGATAGGGTCTTGAGAACTATGTGCCTGGGCTGGCTTCGAACCACAATCCTCCTCATCTCTGCCCCCTGAGTAGTTAGGATCAGAGGCATGAGCCACTAATGCCCTGTTCAGGATGTGCTGTAAGTGAGCACACCCCTTACCTGCCCTGCTCACCCTAGACAAAGCACTGTCCATGGTTCGAGAAAAATTATGCTCGGGGTTTGGAGGGGGGGGTGCAGCAGAAATGTTTGGAGTGCTCTCAGTTCAGTTTGATCTATAACCAAATGCTTTTGGCATAACCACGTGGCCAGGACTCTCAGGGTGTCTGGCATCACACACACACAGCGCCTTTTCTCACCCAGTGGGGCTCTGATTTTCACTTGGGGGTTGAGTTTCCTTCCTGGCAGGCACCAGCTCTCCAGTTTGCTTCCAGAGAAAACATTCCTGAAGTCAAATTTCACTCCTTTGCACTGGAGAGGGAAAGGCCGGCTCACTGGCTGATATGAAAGGCTTGCAATTGGCTCAGGATGGAATGGTTCAGCCTCACAAAGCCACCATTGAGAAAACTGGACGGGTGCAAATGCAGACACAAGAGGAATGGTATTTTCCTTTCTTGTGTTGCAGGGCAGGGGATGGAATCCAGAGCGTTGCATATACTGTGCTAGCCACCACTAAACTGTACCCTTAGCCCAAGAAGGTTAATTTTTCAACTAAATTTCAGCTTGAATAGAAATCTGTATCTTAGAAAGTATACTGAAGTACACTACAGCTGCCCAGTGCTAGGAGAGCTGGATCACGGCCAAGGGCCTTGTGACCTTGCTTTGGCCATAGCACCCAGCAAAGGGGATCTTGCTGGCTCCTTGAAAGTACTCAACAGTTACTTTCCCTCCTTCTGAGAACTGACCCAGACCTGGCTTCCCACTCAGGGGCATGAGATCACAAGAAGCTACTTCAGAGTCCTCATCTGTACAATGGAAATGATAGTAACTGTCTTACAAGTTAGGTGGGAGAATTTGGGGAGAAAAGGAAGATATTCAGTTTACTTCTCATAAGTTTTGTACCTACAAAAGCTGATGGCTGTCACCATTAATTATTTACAAAGTGAACCAACAGAAGGAGACAACTCTGTTCTTGCTTTTCATAACAAAAAGAGAGAATTCATTACAGAATGGCTGGACTTCCTCCATGAAAGTCCTTTCTTGCCTCCATGGAAGTCCTTAGTATCAATCACACAGAGTTAACCAAACAGAAAAATACCTTCATCACCAGTGTATACCCTTCACTGGACATGGGGTTTCGAACACAGACCACTGTAGTACTAAGGGACATGGATACATCCAGGATGGTCCCAGGAAAACCATCTCCCACCTGACAAGTCCCAGTTTCTAACACCCCCTGGCAACGAGCCCACACCTGCACCCTACCTGGCTGACACATTGGTGAAGTGCATGTAGGATGATATGACCACTCCGATGCGTCCTTTTCCACCCTGCAGAAGACAAAAGACAAGTCATGATTTCCAGACATCCCACAGCAGAGATGTAATTGGATAGGAGAATGCTCAACCATGGACAGAATGACAGACAGCCTGCTTTATTTAGGCCAATGTGACCCCTTTTGCCTCCCCTGTTATTCAAGTGCCAGTACCCAACATGAGCACAGCCATCCAGGGCAGAGAACCTGCACATAGGAGGCCCACCGAAGAGCAGGTATTAAGCAGGGTACCTGCAGAAGCCCCAAGAACACATCCACACAGTGCAGTCAGTCATCTCACGCCTTCCAATTAGACTAGAAGAAACTGTGCCAAGAGCTGCAGCAATTAGTATGACTTAATTACCCAGGTGGAAAAGAAATGAATGTCTTCCCCCAGGGGCTGACAACAACGGGGGTGTAGGCACAGCTCAGAGCAGTAGGAAGGCAGATTCTACTGAGCTGGGGCATCCAACACCACCAAGCTCCAGCTGCCCTACCCAGCCTTCCTACTTACACAGAGAGACCCCGTCCCAAGCAATGCTATGGAAACCACAGCCACAACACGTGCAGCCTAGCACAAAGGTCAGCATCACCCACAGTACATGAAGAAGAAGCTACATGGCAGAGCACCCCCAGCCAGAACCACAGACTGAACTGTGCCTTCTAGAACATACAGTCTTGACCTACTGCTGGTGCTGGTCAAATCAGACTCCACAAGCCTGCTTTGACTACCACTTCTTCTCCTACAACTCTGAGCTCAGATTAAAGCACTGAAGAAAAAGATTCTGAGGTGTGTGAAAACTACACATGTCAGTGTTCCTTCATCACATCTGTTTGGACTCTGGCCACCCCTGGTGGTCCTCACACACGCTGCTTTACTCACTCAGCAGGACAGCTGTGAAGAATTTCAGCAAGCCCAAGTGCTGTAAAGCCTAAAATCCTCTACTTCTTGACTGTTTCAAGAAAAGTTTGTCAAGTAGGGTACTGGTGGCTCATGCCTGTAATCCTAACTACTTGGGAGGCTGAGATCAGGAGGATCACAGTTTAAGGCCAACACAGGCAAATACTTCACAAGACCCTATCTCTAAAATAACCAGAGCAAAATGGACTGCAGGCATGGCTCAAGTGGTGGAGTGCCTCCTTTGCAAGCACGAAGCCCTGTGTTCAAACCCCAGTCACTCCTCCTTCCCAAAAAAAGGAAGAAAAGTTTGTCAACCCTTGATCTAGAATCACATAAAAAACAAACAGTAGGGCTACTAATACGTAGCTCCCTGATTCTATTTTTTACTTTTGTCAGTGTTGGAAATGGAACCCAGCATTCTTCCACTGAGCTACACCCCAACTCTATTCTTAAAAAGGAGTGAATGACAAGATTCAAGTCAAAATTTAGACAAACTAACCGTCTTACGCTACTGTCACGCAGGAGTAGCCATCCCTTTGCTTGGTGAAAGTTAAGGGCGAGCTGGACAGATATCAACGCAGACACGTGGCAAACTCTTGACAGAGGAATCCTGGCACAGAAAGCCACTAACATGTTTCTTGCATAAAATCATTTTTGGTTTAAGAACATAAACTCACCTGCAAGGAAACAACACCTCAGCCAAAAGAAGGAATATATGAGGTGCCATTTGCCACCTTCAGTCGATCGTTTCTGTGGCACTAGTTATGTGTGTATAAAGCAAACATTAAAAGGTAGACAGCAATACAATAGCGAAGGTTAAGCCAGCCTGTAATCCAGCACTTGAGAGGCTGAGGCTAAGGAGTGTCAGCTCCAGGCCAGGGCACCATGAGACCCTGTCTTGATAAAATGAAATGAAATTAAATAAAGACAATTATAATAGTGAGGACTTCAAACACCCCACTTTCAATACTGGACAGATCATCTAGACAAGAAATCAGAAAGGAAACATCAGACTTGAACTATAGTTTGGACCAAATGGACCCATCAGACATACAGATCATTCCATCCAACAGCAATAGAACACACATTCCTCTCAAGGGCACACAGAACACTCTCCAAGTTGGATCCTATACTAGACCACGGAACAAGTCTTGACAGATTTAAGTAGACTGAAATCATATCAAGTGTCTTTCCTGACCACCATGGTATGAAACTATGCATCAGTAACAAGAGGAGTCTTGGAAAATCCACAAATTCACATTCCTGAACAACAACAATTGAGTCAAACAAGAAATTAAAAGGGAAATAAATTTTTAAATATCTTGACACAGACAAAAATGGAAACCTGATATACTAAGATTTATGGGACACACACGAAGTCATTCTAAGAGGGACATTTATAGCCATGAATGCCTACACCTAAAAAAGAAAGGTCTCAAATAAATAAGCTCACTTTATACCTCAAGGAACTAGAAAAAGAACAAACAAAAGCCAACGTCTGTAAAAGGAAGGAAATTATGAAACTCAGAGCACAGTAAAATAGAGACTGAGAAAACAATAGAAAAGATCAAAGCAACTGAGCCTTGGTTTTCTGCAAAGATAAGAAAACCAGCAAACCTTTAGCAAGACTAAGATAACAAGAGAGAAGATCAAAATATGAAGATAGAGGGCAGGGGCCATGGCTCAAGTGGTAGAGCACTTGCCGGGCATGCAGAAGGCAAAGCCCTGGGTTCAATCCCCAGTGCCATGGGGGTTAAAACAAAAAGGAAGATGGAAAGATAGAAATGAAAGGGGCGACATCAAATTTGATAGCACAGAAACACAGAGAATCATGAGTACTATGGATATGCAGGAATTTGATACCCTAGAAGAAATATAACAATTTCTAGAAACACACACGCTGCCAGGACTTAGTGATAAACAAGTAAAAAAAATCTGAACAGACTAACTACAAGGAGAGCAATTCAGTCAGTAACAAAAAGTCTCCCATCAAAGAAAAACCCAGGATCACATGGCTCCATGGGAATCTTGTACCAGTGATTCCAATCCTTCTAAAATTCCTCCCAAAACTTGAAGGAAAGGGAACACTTCAAACTCATGTCATGAGATCAACAATGCTCTTATATAAATTCTTACAAGAGCCTGGGAGTAAATATTTTAGGCTCCATGTTCTTGTGCAAGACCTCCAACCTGCCATTACAGTGTGGATGGAGAGACCGTGGACATGGATGTGGACCTGGTCCCGTTTCCACTCAACTATGTGGCTGCTGGTTGAACTGAGCATTGTAGAATTTTCATGTTAAACACAAATCTTAGCTCACAGGTTACAGGTGGAATCAACTTGAGGCTGTGCTGGTTGGGTACAAGCAATCATCTTTAGGACTTGGACAGTTTGAGTTTGATCTTAATGACCAGGATAACTGATTGCAACATTTGCTGTGGGTATTCTTTACCATGACCTCCCAAACAAGGGATGGGGTGTGGATGAAATCTCCCCAAAACAAGCTCCACTTATTTTTACTCAAGCAACAACTAGGGGGTGGCTGAATGAGGAGGAAGTTGAACACACGTGTAAAGCACACCTCTGCTCCTTCCCGGGCCGAGACACGTCTGGCTATGTTAGTCATCTCTGGAAGGAAAAACACCAATTCTGCAAAGTAGGCAGATTCCAGCCAATGTCAGGGATGCCTCCCCTACACGAAGATGATGGTGTTAATGTCAACATTAACAATCTCAAATTAAAAGAGAGCTTCTTTCTTGTGGTATATATTCTGTGTGTTCAAAAATGGTCTGTAAAGCATCCAAAAGTTGCCATGCATCCTGGCCGTAGCCATAGCACCCATTCAGAGAAAAATTCCAGGAGGGTTGCCAGCCTTTAGAACATAGAATATGCACACAACCCAAGGCCCCAAAGATACTGGCACACCATGTTCCCAAAAGGAAAATACATGTGTTTGGAAAGCAAGAGTTGGAAACGGGATTGGCTCCATCTACCATCATTCCCAGTCACCATCCAGGGACTTTGGTCTTCCTGACCACACAACTTGTGGCCTTACGGGGTTGGAGTTCCTGGCTCCTGGAATTCCCTGATGGGCTCACTTCCATCAGGGAACATAGCAAGAGCCCACTGAATCATGTGCTACAGCTGTCGTCAAGGGACTCTGGGCTCCTTGTGTCCAGGGACAGAGGGACAGAGCTGGGACCCGGCACACTAGTCCCACAGCAGGTATGAGATCTCTGTTGTGCCACAGCCTTGCAAACATCTGCTGTTGTAAGTTATTTGCCAACTAGATGGGTTAAAAGTGGCATCTTATTGTGATTTTACTATTTGCTTGCCTAATTACCAGTAAGGCTGAGAACCACTTCATATTGTGTATTAGCCATTCATGTCTGCTCTTTTGGAAATTAGTCTTTATTTTTTGTCTATTAGCATTTATCTATTTTTCTATTAGGTTGTTACATTTTTCTTATTTATTTGTTGTAAGAATTTTTTTTTTTTTTTTTGCGGTCCTGGTGCTTAAACTCAGAGCCTACACCTTTAGCCACTCCACCAGCCCTTTTTGGTGAAGGATTTTTTTGAGAGAGGTTCTCACAAACTATTTTCCCAGGGCTGGCTATGAACCTCGATCTTCCTCATCTCTGCCTCCTGAGTAGCTAGGATTAAAATGTGAGCCACCAGCAGCCAGCTTGTTGTAAGTTTTAATGTGTTCCAAAGTATTAATTTTTGAAAAAAAAAAACAACTTTAAAAAGAATCATTTGCACAATACAAGAGTAGAGCATGTATAACTCACACATCACTGTGGGGAACTTTCAATGTGTTTCTGATACATTCTACCAACAGAGAGCCCAGAGTTGTCTTGGGGAAAGGATGCATTTTAGAGATATCATCAATGGTGACCCGTACGTTTTATATAACATATTTAAACTTCATTAAATAATTGAACGATTGGAACGGAATGACAGTTAAAGGCCTAAACAAAAGGTACAGAGACCGGAGACCTCAAGTCTACTAATTATGGAGCCAAACTCTGTAGGTGTATGAACTCCTTTTGCTCTTTTTGTAAGAATCCCATGAGGAGTTGCATCAGTGACCAGCTTGGATCTCCATCTCACTCCTCAAAATGTGGAAGCTCAGGGTGGACACCCAGAGCATGTGGAGCCGGGGACACTCACCCTGCAGTGGATGACAACCACATGCTGGGGGTCACTGTTCAGCCAGGACTCCTGAGCCTTGCATATGGTGCACAACTTGTCCAGGGGCGGTGCATGCAGCTCTGGCCAGCCCACATCCATGATCTACAAGGAGAGAGAAGAGTTGCTTCAGTTTCTACCTCCTGAAGCCTTCTGATAATGTCAAGGTGACTCATCTGGGAGCATTACTCAGCCATGAGGAATGACACCATGCGGATTGAAGGTAAATAGATGCAATTGGAGGACATCATGTTAAGTGAAATAAGCCAAGTTCAGAAAGACAAAGGCTACATGTCTTCTCTCATATGTGGAAGATAGACCCAAAAGATAAACGTATACACAAAAACAAACATGATCATATACAAACTCATATGTAGACCATGTTTATAACAGTGGAACTGTTCTATGGAACTCAGGGGAGGAGGGAAAGGAAAAAAGAATGATAGAGCATCAGTAATATCATAAAACAGCACATCTGTGCAGGTAGAGAATATAAGGATGTGTATTGAAGGCTGCTGAAAAATGGGGGGTAGGAGGGAAGTGGTGAGGGAGAGTAATGGAAGGGGTTGAATGGACCAAAGTAAAGTAGACTCACAGCGGGGATACACTGAAAAACCCCTTTGAACATCAACTTAAGAATTAATAATGAAAGACAGAGCTGTAAAACAAAGTGGGGGAGAGTACTTGTGGGAGGAGGAGGGTGAATGAAGGAGATGAAGGTGAGGGAATATGGTTGACGGACTTCATATACTTATATGAAATAGAACAAAGAAACCTCTTGCAATGGCTTTAAGTGGGGTGGGGAGGGAGTTGGAGGCAGAGGAGATGGTTAGAGGGTGATCTAACTAATGTACAATGTAAGGCTATTCGAAATTGTCACAATGACTCCCCCCTTGTATAACGAATATTTCTTAATTTAAAAAATGACCAATATTAATTCATTTGGGGGTCAATAAGGATGCTGTGTGGTCCATTCCAGAAACATAGTAGAAATCATTGCCAGGCTCCTTTATTAGAAAGGAGACAAAGCCAGACACCAGTGGCTCATGTCTGTAATCCTAGCTACTTGGGAGGCTGAGATCAGAAGATGAAGGTTCAAACCCAGGCTGGGGCAAGTAGTTCATGAGACTCTATCTCCAAAAAGAAATAACCAGAGCAAAATGGACTGTGATAGAGCACCTGCTTTGCAAGTGGGAAGCCCTAAGTTCAAATCCCAGTCCCACCAAAAACAACAACAACAACACAAAAAAAAAAGAGAGAGAGAGAGAGAGAAGAAAGGGGACAATAAAGTATCATGCTGCTCACAGGTCACACCTCCTCCAGGGGCTGATCTGCTCTTCTGCACTAATGGAGGATTGAGTGGGGAGGGACTTAGGACCTCCAAGATCTAAAACAGCAGTCCTTAACTACTGCCAAATTTTTTCCTCACAGGCTAAACCAGAGTCTTGGGATGCAGCAAGCCATACATCCCATCCTACAGGCTCAGGACGCAACACCATGAAAGGCAGGAATGTGCCCAGAAGGAGGAAGCACCTTCCATCGTTGAGTCCAGTTTGGTGCAAAAGAAATCTCAGGTCACTGTGCTCAGGTGAGCAGCAAGATACAGGATCTGGCCCTACAGGCTGGGGTCGCTCATACTTTATTTCCCTCTCGTAAGGGAGAAGAGAAGCAGTCCTATCTAAACGTAAAAGCAGTGGACATAGTGCAAAATGGGTTGGAAACTGAAAACGGTTAAGAAGTAGGAAAAGTCACACAGCCTTTCCCTCACTCAAAGATAACCACTATGACATTTCAATGAAGCCCTTGGTCTCTTTTTTTTTTTTTTCATAGCTCCTGGGGTTTAAACTCAGGGCCTCACACTTGCTACCACTTGAGTAACACTTGTGTTGGTTATTTTTAAGATTCTTCTATTTGTGCTTCACCAAGTAGCTGGGATGACAGTCACCAGCGCCCCATGCCCAGCCATGTGTTGAGATGGGGTCTCATAAACTTTTTGCAAGGGTTGACCCTGATTTCGGTCCTCCTGATCTCCAGCTAGGATTATAGGTGTGAGTCACTGAGCCAGGCTCTTGGTCTCTCTTTCCATGTATATCTAGTATAAATGAGATTTTGGTCTTTGGGTTTTTTGTTTTGCCTTTGCAGTAGTGGGGTTTGAACTCAGTGCCTACACCTTGAGCTGCTCCATCAGCCCTTTTTTTGTAATGGGTTTTTCCACATAGGGTTTCTCAAACTATTTGCTTGGGCTGGCATCAACTGCGATCCTCCTGATCTCTGCCTCCTGAGTACCTTGGATTATAGGCTTGAGCTTGTTTGTTCTTGAGACAGAATCTCACTACGTAGCCCATGCTGGCTTCAAACACCCCATTCTCCTGCTTCAGCCTCAGAACTGGCAAAATTACAGGTGTGCACCATACTACTATACATAAATTCTATACTGCACTGTTGCTAACTAGCATTGAAAAAGGCAATGTACCATGTTTCCATAGGTTGCAGAGCCCTTATTCAAAATACTTGGAACTAGAAATGTTTTGGGTTTCAATGGTTTTCAAATTTTGAGTATGTCTTCACCAGCTGAGCATCCTTAATCAAAAAATAAAAAATACCTGAAATCTGAAACACTCCAAAACCTAAAACTTTTTGAGCATGATATCAGTGCTAAGAAAGTTTTGGATTTCCTTGAGTTCAAACCCAACACCACAGACAAGAGAGAAAGAGAGAACAAAAAGTTTTCGCTTTCTGAGCATTTCAGACCTTGGGCTTTTGGATTATCAATGTTCAATCTGTATTTTCTTATTCCTATGTCTGCAAAATATTCCAGTATATAGAATATATATGTAAAGCTGGAAACTGGTGGCTCACACCTGTAATCCTAGCTACTTAAGAGGCAGAGATCAGGAGGACCACGGGTCAAGGCCGACCCACGCAAATAGCTCACAAGACCCTATCTCAAAAAAAAAAAAAAAAAAAAAAAAAGGGCAGGGGGGCCACTACTCAAGGTGTAGGTCATGAGTTCAAACTCCAGTACTGCAAAAAAAGAAAGAGAATATATATGTACGTACATATGTATGTGTGCGTATATATATATTTATATATATCCCATAACTTAAATTTTTTCCCTAAACTTTTGCTACTGAAAATAATCATGGTGGCAGGAGAGACACTGCTGTGGTGACGGAAATACTGTATATCTTGGTGGTGGTAGTTCTATAAATCTATATGTATGATAAAGTGGCAGAAGTGTGCACAGACAGACACAGGGACACACAAGTGTGCATGTGAGACCAGCAGACTGAGTGAAGTCTGTGGAGTGCCCCATGTCTCCTTATTGGTACCGATGTTTTACAAGTCAAGCATCTTAGTTTAAATGCTTGGGGCCAGATGTGTTTCAGATCACATATTTTGGGAAGGAGTTTAAGAATGTTTGCAGGTACACAATAAGGTATCTTCGGAATAGGACCCAAGTCTATGTGTGACTTTCATCTTATGTTTCATATATACTTAGACATATAGCCTAAGGTAATTGTTTTTAAATTTGGGGGTCAGGATAGCACTTGTGCTGTAATCACAGCATTCTGGAGGCTGAGCCAGAAGGGTTTTGAGTTCAAGGCCTGCCTGAGCTACACAGTGAATTCCAATTTAAAATAAACAAACAAAAAGCTTTGTTACAAAAAATAGAACATTTTTTTTTTAAAAAGCTTTGTGTCAGGGGCTGGGGGCCTGACTCAAGTAGTACAGGGTTTGCCTAGCAGGCAGGAGACCCTAGGTTCAATCCCCAGTACCACAGAACAAAAAATTTGTGTAGGAAACAAAGTTTCATGACATAGGAGTTTTCTACTTATAGCATCATGGTTGGTTTGAGGTTCGTTAGTTTCAGATTCTAAGTATTTCAGACTTCAGGTGTTCAGGTCAGGGATGTTCAAACCACATTACCTTTTTCAAAATGTTGACACTGGGGAGACTGGCTGGCGGGGGGGACTTTGGAGCTCTTTGTATTATTTTGGCAGTTTTCTAAGAATCTGTAGTTATTCCAAACTAAAAGAAATTTAATTAAAGAAGGGATATGAACAGTTCCTAATACTATTTATTTCTTTATTTGTAGTACTGGGATTTGAACTCAGAGCCTACACCTTGAACAACTCCACCAGTCCTTTTTTGGTGACTTTTTTTTCAACATAGGGTCTCCTGAACTATTTGCCAAGGCTGGCTTCAAACCGCAATCATCCTGATCTCTGCCTCCTGAGTAGCTAGGATTACAGGCATGAGCCACCAGTGCCCAGGCTACCTAATATCCTTTATTATGTCACACTCCTCAAAAGCCTGTAACAAACTACCTTTACACAAGCAAAGTGAGCATCACTTACACTTTACAAATCTCAAAATATAAAGGAATAAAGTCCATACCTTTGGATTTAGCTTTGTGAGATCATATCTCTTTTCCGAAAGGTTTAACACCTACAAAGGGAGGGGAAAAAAGGCTCTTAGACAAATCACTAGCCCCAGAAACACAAAAAGAAAATGTAATTGCTTTTTACACATGGGAAATGAGCTGTATACACATGTGCACTGTCACAGAATCAAAAGCAAAATTAGGTAAGGATGGAACACTGAACCCTATCAACTCTATTCTTTTTTTTTTTTTTGACTGTTCTGGGATTTGAACACAGGGCCTCATGCTAGTTAGGCAGGTGCTCTACCACTTGAGCCACTCTACCAGTCCTGTTTTATGTTGGGTATTTTCAAGATAGGCTCTCATGAAGTATCTGCCCAGGCTGGCTTTAAACCTTAATCCTCCTGATCTCTGCCTCCTGAGCAGCTAGGATTACAGGTGTGAGCCACTGGTGCCCAGCTCTACTTTTGTTAGCCAAGGCTACAATAGGCATTTTACTGTTACCTTGTTTTTATTCTAACGGCCACAAAACATCCCACAATATAGGATATGCACATGCACACATGCACACCAAACAGAGCTTCTGAGCTGAGCACCAATGGCTCACAGCCATAATCCTAGCTACTCAGGAGGCAGAGATCAGGAGGATGGCAGCTCAACACCAACCTGGGCAAACACCTCGAAAAAAGCCATCACAAAAAAGGGCTGGTGGAGTGGCTCAAGGTGTAGGCCCCGAGTTCAAATCCCAATACAGGGAAAAAAAACCCCAGAACTTCTGTACTCAATGGGGAGACAGAGCACCCCATGGGGTGGGTAGCTGCTCCCTAGAGGTATGGTGACCCAGGCACAGAAAGAACTGAGCTCGTGATCTGTCTGCCCAAGGCCACTGAAAATTCAGAGCTGTGTGGAATCTTGCTGAAGAAAGGCGAAAAGATAAAAAGGCTTAATGATAAACTAAGCATCTGTGTCACTCCAAAGACAGGACCCAAGGGAAGTGGGGAGGATGGCCTTATCCAGGTCACCCCAGAGTCCTGCCCATAGGGAAGGGGGCTGCCTTTGCCCTTGCAGGGCACACAAGTCACTTTTAACCAGGTCCAACTGCTTCCTGAGCCTACTTAATACTGGTTCTATTCCAGCCCTGCAAAAACCACCAAGGACACAGCTGTCCTTCTTCAGAGGGCCCAGGACACTACTGGGTGACAAGATGTATGACCACGGACATCCTCCATAAATGGTTTGTGAGTCTGGGACTGTTTTGTTTCCAAACCCAATTATTAGGTGTTTTTGAAGAAAGAGATGAGGCCACACTTTGTTCCTCAAATCTATACAAGACATGTGCAGGAGTCTGTTAGTTTTTTAAAAAGGCTCTTTGTCCTTAATCAAGCAAGAAGCCCCCCAACCCCTTCCAGACAATTTGAGGGGGAACTATATCCTTGAGAAAGCCCCACATGCAAAGAGGGGGAAAATGGACCCAGGTCTGACCAGTGTCTACTACGGAGAGTGGCAGGGGGAGTAAAGAGAGGATTTGGGGTGCAAATGACCAGCCCGGGTGTGGCTTTTCAAAGAGATAGCTTCGGTGCTACAGAGACCACTTGTGTGGCTCAGAAGACAACACTGAAGGGAGGTATGGCCATGGTGGAGGGGGGGCTTGGCTACGACTTCCCTGTCCACCACCAGGCCATAGCTAGAAGAGCCTCAGGGGGCGAAGAGGCTGCACCCACTGCAGCCTCAGGGAATCAAGGTGCTGGGAGGGGTCCCTGTGCTCCTGCACAGGAGACTTCTGAAGCAGGCGGCCGAGCCAAGGCTCCTCTGAAGTTAGACAGAGCTGAGATCCCGCTCTGTCCCCACTCCAGTTCTTGAGAAGACTGATAAGGTTGACAATGACCTCCTTGTTGGCTTAGGTAAGATTAGCTTTAGGGCAGATAAGGCGGTAGCTTGAGAGAAACCTGCTAGGAAGCTTTAATGTAATCCAAACAGTGATTACAACAGCAAGAGAAAGACAAGACTCCACGTAGGCCACCTACCCTGGGAACTGGGAACGGAAAAGGATGGGGACAGGGTGAGAAGTTGGCCTTCCAGATTTCACCCTAATGCAGGCTCCCTCTTCCAGCTGCACATGTGGGCTTTTTTTTGGTGATACTGGGGCTTGAACTCAGGGCCTCATACTTGCTAGGCAGGCACTCTACCACTTGAGCCACTCTGCCAGCCTTTTTTTTTAATGTTGGGTATTTTCAAAATAGGGTCTAGGGAACTATTTGCCTGGTCTGGCTTCACACTGTGATCTTCCTTATCTCTATGTTTTGAAATCCAGCTATCTATCGCCCCTCAGGGCAGTCCTTTTTTCTTGGGCACCCCCAACCCCCTTGTCTTCTAAACTCACAGGTTGCTGTTTAATACCAGGTATGTAACACAGCACCAGCAGGAGCTGCTGGCCAGGGGACGCTCTGCGGCACCAGAAGCCAGCCTTACTATGACATGTCACCCTCAGGGCTAGGCAGAGGCAGCAGCCATCCCAGCAGTCCTATCCATGGCTGCTGTCTGGCTTGGAACACATAATGTTCTCAGCCAGAGCTCAGGACCAACACCATGGCATGTGGCTGTGTCCGGATCCAGAGCCTCTTCCTCACATTTGTAAGGAAGGGAGCTGCAGGTGCCCACCCCTCACACAGGACTCCTGTCCAGAGTTCCCTACACCACAGTATAGCCGCAGTAAGCCCTGTCCACCTGCTCACCAAGTAGTTTTCCCCATGCTTGGACTTGAGCATCCGTGTCACCTCCTGCAGACTGTGCAGGTAGGACTCCTCAGAGCAGCTGGAGGGAAAGGACACGCGATGATACGCTCTGTGATGTAGGTGAGGTCCAACTCATGGCTGTCCTCCATGGCGGGGCTCAGGACCATGAGCCTATGAAAGAGAGAGAAGGGCTGGTCAGCAAAGGGGAAAAGGAAAAGAAGATGAGCATTTGCCCTCCAGGGTTTTCACAGAGATCCTGGAGTAGCTGTATCCTGGAAATTTGACCGCATACACCTTTTACACTGCTCTCCACTCTCAGGAAGATGCAAAATTCCTTGCAGAACATGACTAAGGAGTGGCAGAGAATGGGAAATTCGCATCAGTGGAGCCAGGGCTCAGGTAGAAAGCATGAAAGGTACAGGGGTGGCATGGCAGACTCCTGTGAACTTAGCCTTGCAGCAGCCTCAACCCACTGTAAGACATCAGGGTCAGCACTGCCCAGCCAGCGGAGGCTCAGGGTTCAGACATGTGGGAACCACAGACATTAACAGCAGGTCCTCCTGCTACTGGCAGCCTCCTGGGAGAGGAATGGCTGGCAGAGGAGCCGGTGAGGTACACAGGACAGATCCCAAGCCCAGAGAAAGTCTTGGACCCAACCCTGGAGATGGCTGAGCTGGGGAGGAATTTCAGCCTCCATGTAATGGAAGTGGCATTTCCTCCACGGGGGAGGAGGTCCTCTGTGATGTGTGGCTCTGCTGGGCCCCGGTGAGCACAGGTGTGCAGGATGCAGGTGCCTACAGCAGGTGTCCAGGTATGAGACAAAGACAGGTGGAGGAGGGAGGAAGGCAGAAACAGCCAAGTCCTATCTGGAGAGCCAGATCTGAGATCACGGTGAACGCTGGTTGTGTGGGAAGCCAGGAGTCCAGGGCTCCAGACACCACAGCCTCTCCACCATCACTGAGGGCCCCCAGAGAGACCCCGAGACCTTCATGCAGGTGAGGCTCTACCTTTAGAATAAGGGATGTGTCCAAGAGACACAAAGACAAGGTCAAATCCAAGAAGTGACACCACAATGTGACACCAGAAGATGGACACCCAGGGCTAACGGGATGGTGCGTCCTGTCCACTGACAGTCACTACCAGCTTTGGGATGTTGTTCTTGGGTTTTGTTTTGTTTTGTTTGGGTGGGGGGGTTTGCTTTACCTATTCTTATTATATATATTTCTTTCTTTCTCTCTCACTTTTAGAAAAATTCAAAAACCCAGAAAATCGTTTAGCAATTTGTATGTACCCATGACTTAAACTTTAAAAAATATCAACACATGGTCAACATTTACCTCCACAGTCTCCCCACCACTTTAACTGCTTTGCTTTCTCTGTTTCTCTCTGTGTGTCTGTCTCTCTCTCTCTCTCTCTCTCTCTCTCTCTCTCTCTCTCTCTGTACCGGGATTTGAACTCAAGAGCCTTGTACTTGCTAGGCAGGCACTCTATTGCAAATACCATCTCATTTAAAAATCCTGTATTGATTCTAAAAGATAAGGGTATTTTTTAGTAAAATATCTACAATGCCATTATACCTTAAAAAAAAGATATACAAGTAACATTAAATATCCAATATCCTAAATTTATTTTTTACAGCTGACTCATCTAAACATTTTCCAAGACATGATATAAAAGTCTTGATTATTTTTAAAAGTCAAATGACTTTTTGAACACTAATTAAAAATAATAACATACCCCTCCAGCCATCACAACCCACAGTGGAGAACTCTTAAAGCCTGTGGTGTGCAGATGATAACTGAGGACGCCCATCCACCAGACCCCCCCATTCGGAAGGGGTCTCCGGGAAGGGACTCCTGGACCCTCCTCCCAAGTCACCCTCGCCCCAACTTAATCATCTATTCAAAGACAAGTGATTCCAACACCAGAGATCACATTCAGAAAATGATACAAACCCTAATATATTAACCTCAATGATGTCGTCCTTAAAATCGGAAAAGAGGGCTGGGGGTGTAGCTTAGTGGCAGAGCACTTGCCTAGCATTCACAAGGCACTGGAATCATCAACCCCCAGCACCACCAAAAAAAAAAACTTCAGATTACTACAGAATAGATAACATAATGACCAAGTGTCCTCTGGAGATGGACCCCACCACCTGAGACACAGGAACGCATCAGCCACAGGACAGACACTCACCTAGAAGGCTTATCACAGCAGAGAGCAGCGGATGGTGTACAACTCCCCAGAGCCTGGGAAAAAAAAAAAAAAATCACAAGACAGAAATCAGTGTTACCTTTCCTTCCGTTTCAGAGCCAGCTCTCACGACATTTATGCCAGCCAGTGGGGAGGACCCATGACAGCTATCCTTACAGCTTAATGATCAATGGGAAATCAAACATTGCCACTGTTGGTCCACCTGGGGAGGTCTGCATTGCACAGGGTGTTTCAGGTCACCCAGTGATACAGTTCCAGGAAGGAACAGTGGGACACTGGGCTTGTCCCAGTGAGAGGACTGAGACCACCCTCCCACCAGGGCTGGGCAGGAACCCAAACAACACTGGCTGTTACTACCATCTTTAATGCTGTTCTGCCAGTCCTACCTTACGATTCTCAATCACATCTATTTTTTGTTGTTCTTGGAGGTACTGGGGCTTTAACTCAGTGCCTGAGCTGGCTAGGCAGGTGCTCTACTGCTTGAGCCATGTCCCCAGCTCTTTCTGTAATAGGATCTCAAGTTTACACCTTGGCTAACCTAGACCACAATCCTCCTATTTATACTTCCACACATCTGGGATTACAGGCATGTGCCACCATGCCCAGCTGTTGGTTGAGATGGGATCTTGGAAAACTTTTTTGCTAGGGTTGGCCTAGCATCACCATCCTCCTGATCTCTACCTCCCTAGAAGCCAGGATTACAGACGTGAGCCACACGCCTGGCCGTCTACTCTTTTTGTAAGCGTCAGGGTTTAAAAGAACCTTGAGTTATGATGTGTCACGGTTCACAGTGCGTGTGCAAGAGCTGTGGTACATACCAAAGTGACTTCAGGAGCCATGGTCAGCAACTTTACGAGTAAAAATAATTTCCAACACTTCAGAAGTGAGATCGGTGCTCAGAGAGGTCAAGTTCATGTCAAAGACAACAGAGGGGGGAAGAGAAGCCCAAGCATCCCCCTTCAAGGTCTCCATCCAGGTGACACTAGGTGGCCCTATACCACAAAGCCTGTCTCAGGGACAGCCCTGGGACCTCCCTTCTGCAGCCCACTGACACTGGCCAAAAACACCCTCAAAAGCACAGTACACCACCTAATGTGGTACTGCCCCCTCCACTCGGTCTCGAACAAAGGAACAGAAAATAAATTCTACAGCTAGTACAGGGACCAAGAAGATGGCTGTTTTCCTAAAATCAACCCAACCAAAAGCCTCACTTAAGCCCTGAAACCCCGGCGATGATCACCTGGCCTCCCACACAGAGGCTGGAACCAGTGCCCTCTCTACACTGCCTATCAAGGTGACAGGGAGCATCATGCGGCCAGTCCCCCTGCTCCTTCTCCCTGTGTGAGGCCAGGCTGCTCCTGTCCTTGGTCCCCTCCCTTTTGAAAGAGCCATGCCAGGGTCAGCCTCCCAGAGCTGTCCTGGGGGTCACTAGGGTGCTTCTCATCATGGCTTGGAACTCTGCCTGGCACCACAGTTTCCCAGCTCCCACAAGACAAACCTGGTCAGGTGAGTCCTTCTGCCTCCTTGTCTTGCCACTGTGACTTCTGAGCCACCCTCTCACCATCCCTCTCATGGGGACTCTGGGTGGGTCCTAAGAGCCCTCCAGAGCCAGGACCTGAAAACCAGCACCCCCACCCTCAGTCTCAGACTAGAAGACTTCAAAATGACATTATTTTTTGCCTAGTATAACAGCCAAAATAGAAACTTCACAAATTCTTACAAGTGCTGGTGATTCCTCATTTCCAAAGACACTGTGGGAATAAGACAGGTAGAAGGTGTGAAGTCCGTTTATGGCCCATCCACAGGAGGAGGGAAGTTAAGGCATTGCCCAGGAAGGGGTGGGAGCCGCTGTGGGCGAGGAAGCCTCCACCCTCAGTAACATGAGTGCAAAAAGTGACCCACGCCTCAGTGAAATCAGGAAATCTGCAGATGTCAAAGGAAGACGACAGCAACTAGGGTAACAGAAACCCAGGACAGTCCATAGGACCACAGCCCAAGAAACTCATCGTAGTGGAAAAGATCCTGAGTTGAAAATGTGTTTAATATATGTGACATGGCTATTTCCCCCTTGTGAATGGCTGGGCACAAAAGTGGCTACACTGCCCTGTAGGGGACGGTACTGCCCATCGCTGATCCAGGAAAGATGCAAGTTCAAACTTCAAAGTCAAATTTCTAGTAAATGCACATAGTTTTCAGAAAGTCCAAAAACCACAAGTCTAACCATCCTAAATTGAGGACTGTCTGTGTATGATACATACACACACACATGCACACACAAATTTATTTGCAGACACATGGCCAGAAAGCAGGTGACCAGGCAACTGTTTCTTTCTGCAAGGTATTAGATCATTTCTTTCTTATTTTTTCTATACACATTTTTTCCCTTTTTTACTACCTGCACAGAAGACATGTGAATGTCAGAGGAGAAAGCCACCATGGCTCCGAGGCACTGCCAGGTTCTAGTCTGGCACCCAGGCCTCTCTCCACCATACAAGGAGCTGCTTCCTGCTTTCTGTCCCAACAAGATGACCCCTACAGAAGACAGGCAATGAAGGGAGCCACCAACCCCTTCACAGATGGATCAGAACTTCCTCCAACTTACCGTCACTCAAATCCAAACCCTGGGCTGGTTTAAGAGGACGCAATGGCCTGAGTACACCCACCCCTTTTCCCTGGCCTTGCTGTCCCAGGGCTACACTGCCACCTGAGTCTCTGGCCCTTCCTGCCAGGTCCAGCTCCACCCCAGTGGAGGGTTCCTGAATTGGCTACCTCTCCCTTTGGACTCAGCACCAATCCCAGGGGCTGATCCACATCCCTGATGTGGGGACAAGACCCTGCCATGTTTCCAGCTAGCCAGGTGATTGCAGTCATCACCTTGTTGGACAACAGATGGTCCCCAGGCCCAGAGAGGTCACTTCCCAGCTGCAGAGGGAATGAGTGAATGCATGAATGAGTGAGTGAATGAATGAACACCCAGGATCTAGGCTCCGAAGCTACACCATGGCCTGAGCACAGCCCTAAACATCTTGCCTGACAGACATTTGGTAATTCACACGGTTGTTTGCAAGAGTCTGAATTTTAAAAACACACTGGATCGCACACCTTTGGTTTATAATACAACAATCACAGGGTCCAACTGAATGACCAGAAATGAACACCTCAAGAAGGCGAGAAAGTGATACAGTGAAAAACTATTTAGGCTAAGGTGGTCTGTCTGTGCAGGTAAGGGTAAAATTAAAGCACCTCAGATACAATACTGATATAACCAGTCCCTTCATGGGAAGCTCTTGGCTTAATAAGAGTGCCACTTACATCAAAAAGTGTCACATATGTCAAACTTCCAACAGCTCCCTGAGAAGAAAATGGCATGGGTTTTTGACCAACCATGGGCCTGGATCCCAGGTGACCCTGTCATGATCTGACAATAGGCTCTTCTGTTAGAACCCATGCTATGGTTTGTCCCCATCCTTGTGGGACTTTCAAGAGATGATTAGGGCTCTGTCTTCATGAATAGCTGCTCCATTCATTGACTTATGAGTTAATTAGTGGGTATCTCAAAAATGAGCCTTCCATAAAAGCAAGTTTGGTGCTGACTCCTGGATGTGCCCCTGGCACCATGCCATACCCTGTGATATGTCCAGATTGCAAAGACCTCCTTCAGCAACAAGGCTCCTACCAAACTCAACCCTTTGATCGTGTGAACTTCCCAGCCCCCAGAGCTGTGAGCTGAACAGTCTTTATAACTCACCCAGGCTGTGGTATTCAGTTATGCATAGCTACAGAAAACAGCCTGCCAAGACACCCACTTACCCAGTTTCTCCAAGTGTCAAGCTCATTTACCATGTGTGATGTAGTCACTAACTTCTCAGCAAGTATTGTGATAATTCACTGGTCAAACTTAACTCTCACACTGTACCTCATTCCAAGATTACACCCACACAGAAAAGCGTATGACTGTTAATGCCAGCACCAGCAAAATGGGGTGTAGAGGTGTCACCCTCCCTTGAACAGGACCAAGGAGGCAGGAGGGAAGGGCGGAAGAGGCCAGGATGCCCGAGGACACAGGTGCCCTGCGGCAGGAGAGTGAAGAGGGTGGTTAGAGAGAGGCAAAGACTCTCCTGTTCCCATGTCCTCTGAACCCAGTGTGACACTATGACCTTCACAAAAGTCGCTCAAGCCAGGAGACTGTGCCTCACGCTTGTCACCCTAGCTACTCAGGAGGCAGAGATAAGGAGGATCACAGTTCAAGGCCAGCCCTGGGCAAATAGTTCTCAAGACCTTAATCTTGGAAAAAAAAAAAAAAAACACTTCACAAAAAAGGGCTGTTGGGAGTAGCTCAAGATGTAGGCCCCGGTTCAAATCCCAGTTCCACAAAAAAAAAGAAAATGCTTAAAACCTGAATGCATGCAAATTGCAAACCACGGCCCAATTTTTTTTTTTAACCAAAAAGTATAATTTCCAAGGTTGAAGTAAACAGCAAAAAACTATTAACTGTGTTATTCCCACTGGAGGCCCAAGCCTGAGGTGTTACAGAGTAAGAACGACAGGTGAACCTCACAAAGATGGCCTGTCTGACGTGCTCAGCAACCTGGGGCCCCCTCCTTACCCAGTACCCATGACAATGCACAAAGGAAAACCTTCTGTGACTTCAAAATAAAAGGATGGGGACAGAAAGGAGTGACCCAGCCCATTTCACACACACAGTCAGTTTTTTTGTTGCTGTTTTTTTTTTTTTTAGTAAGTCTCCATCCACTTAAAAAAACACCTCCAGGCTGTGCCCTCTAAGGTCACAGACAGAGCTCAATACCCCAGTCCAACACGTGCTAGCCGTACCCCTTCCCTCCCCAGGGTACAGCTCAAGCCTGGCCACCTACAAGAAGTGTGTGGTAGATAGTGGCTTCCACAACACGTTCCGGGAACAGCTCCAGGGCCCAGACCAAACTCTGTGATGCACGCATCTCCCTGAGTCACCAGACCTGCATGGAGGACACTGTGCCTGGAACCACAGAGTGAAACTGTAGTCACACTTGTGACA